TTTTCCTCTTTTGGCTCATCTTGGACTCTTTTGAGGATACAGAAGTGGATGCTTGTTTGCTGGATTTTCCATATATCAAGACACACCTGGTAAGAACAGCCTCGGTGGGTTAACCCAACAAAAACTCACCAGAGGAGCCAGGAGAGGCTGCGGGGGACCCAAGAAGAGGAAAATCAGAGCTGCTCTGTGCAAAACCACTGCACACAGTAGGTAAGTATAGACATGTTTGTTATTTAGTAGATATTGATTTTGTATGTATTGTATTGATTCTATTGCTATTTTTTGTAATTCTGTAAAGTTAAAATATTTATTGTTGTATTTTAGTTTTCTAGTGGCAATTACATGCAACTACCTGTAAAACTCCTGAAGAAGCCAGAAATTTGGTGAAACATGTCGAGTTGGAATTGTTGCATTGTGAACTTCAAGCCATATAAAGTATCATGTTGGTTTTATATTTTTCAAAACTACTAATGTGATGTAGTTTTTTTCTATGTTAATATGGAATAAAGCTTTGTACATACTAAGTGTCAAATTTGTTGAGCACCTAAAAAATCCCTTTTCTTCTCATATAATGCTGGATATTCACAATATGGGATGTTGTGCTAGCTGATCTCCAGCCCACCTGAAATAAACATAGAATGTTCATAAGTGTGAATCTAACATTCAGCAAACATTCTCTGCAGGAGAACCTTCTAGGTGCATATATTTTGAATGACAGTGACCAATTTTCCACCTTTAGCAGATCTTATGCAATTTATGCACAAACTACCATTGGAATATTATGAATGGAGATGAGCGAATCGAAGTAGGCGAAGTGGAATTCGAGTCGAATATTGGAAAATTTTTCCTAAAATGGCGGCGGACATGTGCGGCGACGGAGCGGGGATGTCTGGGAAGGCGCGCAGACAAGGCGCGCTGACCCATAATGCATTCCTTAATGACATGTGATCGCATTAGCCAATCAGCAGCCAGCCAGCCAGCACTGTGTAATGGTCTAGCTATAAATAGCGGCCATTTTAGAAATTCTTCATTTGCCTCCAGTCATTCAAGAGAGGCAGACCGCTCTGTATTAGGGACAGAGTTAGGGCCACAGAAACGTTACTTGGGGAGAGAAACGTTACTTAGGGACAGAGAAGCATTACTCAGGGACACAGAATTGTTAATGAGGGCCACAGAATCGTTACTTAGGGCCAAAGAACCGTTACTTAGGGCCACAGAATTGTTACTCAGGGACAGACACAGAATTGTTACTCAGGGACACAGAATTGTTACTGAGGGCCACAGAACCGATACTTAGGGACACAGAAACGTTACTCAGGGACAGACACAGAATTCTTACTCAGGGACGGACACAGAATTCTTACTCAGGGACAGACACAGAATTGTTACTGAGGGACACAGAATTGTTACTGAGGGCCACAGAATTGTTACCCAGGGACACAGAATTGTTACTGAGGGACACAGAATTGTTACTGAGGGACACAGAATTGTTACTCAGGGACAGACACAGAATTGTTACTCAGGGACAGACACTGAATTGTTACTCAGGGACAGACAGAATTGTTACTGAGGGCCACAGAAATGTTACTTAGGGCCACAGAAACGTTACTCAGGGACACAGAATTGTTACTCAGGGACAGACACAGAATTGTTACTCAGGAACAGACACAGAATTGTTACTGAGGGACACAGAATTGTTACTGAGGGCCACAGAACCGTTACTTAGGGCCACAGAAACGTTACTCAGGGACAGACACAGAATTGTTACTCAGGGACAGACACAGAATTGTTACTGAGGGACACAGAATTTTTACTGAGGGACACAGAATTGTTACTGAGGGACACAGAATTGTTACTCAGGGACACAGAATTGTTACTGAGGGCCACAGAACCGTTACTTAGGGCCACAGAATTGTTACTCAGGGACAGACACAGAATTGTTACTCAGGGACACAGAATTGTTACTGAGGGCCACAGAACCGTTACTTAGGGCCACAGAATTGTTACTCAGGGACAGACACAGAATTGTTACTCAGGGACACAGAATTGTTACTGAGGGACACAGAACTGTTACTGAGGGCCACAGAATTGTTACTCAGGGACACAGAATTGTTACTTACTGAGGGACACAGAATTGTTACTGAGGGACACAGAATTGTTACTCAGGGACAGACACAGAATTGTTGTTACTGAGGGCCACAGAACTGTTACTTAGGGCCACAGAACTGTTACTTAGGGCCACAGAAACGTTACTCAGGGACACAGAATTGTTACTGAGGGACACAGAATTGTTACTGAGGGACACAGAATTGTTACTCAGGGACAGACACAGAATTGTTACTGAGGGCCACAGAACTGTTACTTAGGGCCACAGAACTGTTACTTAGGGCCACAGAAACGTTACTCAGGGACACAGAATTGTTACTCAGGGACACAGAATTGTTACTGAGGGACACAGAATTGTTACTGAGGGACACAGAATTGTTACTGAGGGCCACAGAACTGTTACTTAGGGCCACAGAACTGTTACTTAGGGCCACAGAAACGTTACTCAGGGACACAGAATTGTTACTCAGGGACACAGAATTGTTATTGAGGGACACAGAATTGTTTACTGAGGGACACAGAATTGTTACTGAGGGACACAGAATTGTTACTCAGGGACAGACACAGAATTGTTGCTGAGGGCCACAGAACTGTTACTTAGGGCCACAGAACTGTTACTTAGGGCCACAGAAACGTTACTCAGGGACACAGAATTGTTACTCAGGGACACAGAATTATTATTACTGAGGGACACAGAATTGTTACTGAGGGAAACAGAATTGTTACTCAGGGACAGACACAGAATTGTTACTGAGGGCCACAGAACTGTTACTTAGGGCCACAGAACTGTTACTTAGGGCCACAGAAACGTTACTCAGGGACACAGAATTGTTACTCAGGGACACAGAATCGTTTAATTAAAGAGTATGTCAGACAACATGCAGAGGAGTGGCAGAGGAGGCAATGTTTTAGGAGCGAGCAGACGTGGCAGCAGAGGAAGGGTCGAGGCAGCACTATTCGCAGCCAGAGGCTAGTGCTCCCAGTGTCATCCAGTACAGTGAGGAAGAGCTAACAGAGGGCGGTCAGGAACGGGGGGAGACATCCGCCTCTTCAGCAGCCAGGCGAAGAAGTAGTGGCGAGGAGAGTGGCTCGGTAGCCGGTGTAGAGACAGGTCTGTCTCCTGACCCACACGCAGCCGAGGGGGCTAGTAGTGAGGCGGAGACCCTAATTGATGATGATGAGGCTGATCGCACTTGGCAGCCTCGTCGTCATCAGGCTATTGCTTCCGCATCATCAGGAGAAGAGGGTGGCAGCTTGGCAGCGAGCAAAACAGTCGGTGGGTTGTCTCCATCGCCACACTCTGCCATGTGCCACTTTCAGATCTCCTCACACACTGCTGGTGTGTTGAATTTTTTGACATAGGGTGCTGGCAGATTACGGGCCTCCCATAGCTGCTGCTGCCAGGCCCCTAATCTGCCATGGGCCCCTATACCGCCTCCTCATGCTGCTGCCAGGTCCAGAGTCTCTCATGCCATGTGCCACTTTCAGGTCTCCTCACACTGCTGGTGTGTTGAATTTTTTGACATAGGGTGCTGGCAGATTACGGGCCTCCCATAGCTGCTGCCAGGCCCCTAATCTGCCATGGGCCCCTATATACCGCCTCCTCATGCTGCTGCCAGGTCCAGAGTCTGTCATGGGTCCCTGTACGGCCTCCCATTGCTGCTGTCTCCATCGCCACACTCTGCCATGTGCCACTTTCAGGTCTCCTCACACACTGCTGGTGTGTTGAATTTTTTGACATAGGGTGCTGGCAGATTACGGGCCTCCCATAGCTGCTGCCAGGCCCCTAATCTGCCATGGGCCCCTATATACCGCCTCCTCATGCTGCTGCCAAGTCCAGAGTCTGTCATGGGTCCCTGTACGGCCTCTTATTGCTGCTGTCTCCATCGCCACACTCTGCCATGTGCCACTTTCAGGTCTCCTCACACACTGCTGGTGTGTTGAATTTTTTGACATAGGTGCTGGCAGATTACGGGCCTCCTATAGCTGCTGCCAGGCCCCTAATCTGCCATAGGCCCCTATATACCCGCCTCCTCATGCTGCTGCCAAGTCCAGAGTCTGTCATGGGTCCCTGTACGGCCTCCCATTGCTGCTGTCTCCATCGCCACACTCTGCCATGTGCCACTTTCAGGTCTCCTCACACACTGCTGGTGTGTTCAATTTTTTGACATAGGGTGCTGCTGGCAGATTACGGGCCTCCCATAGCTGCTGCCAGGCCCCTAATCTGCCATGGGCCCCTATATACCGCCTCCTCATGCTGCTGCCAAGTCCAGAGTCTGTCATGGGTCCCTGTACGGCCTCCCATTGCTGCTGTCTCCATCGCCACACTCTGCCATGTGCCACTTTCAGGTCTCCTCACACACTGCTGGTGTGTATTTTTTTGACATAGGGTGCTGGCAGATTACGGGCCTCCTATAGCTGCTGCCAGGCCCCTAATCTGCCATAGGCCCCTATATACCGCCTCCTCATGCTGCTGCCAAGTCCAGAGTCTCTCATGGGTCCCTGTACGGCCTCCCATTGCTGCTGTCTCCATCGCCACACTCTGCCATGTGCCACTTTCAGGTCTCCTCACACACTGCTGGTGTGTTGAATTTTTTGACATAGGGTGCTGGCAGATTACGGGCCTCCTATAGCTGCTGCCAGGCCCCTAATCTGCCATAGGCCCCTATATACCGCCTCCTCATGCTGCTGCCAAGTCCAGAGTCTCTCATGGGTCCCTGTACGGCCTCCCATTGCTGCTGTCTCCATCGCCACACTCTGCCATGTGCCACTTTCAGGTCTCCTCACACACTGCTGTGTGTTCAATTTTTTGACATAGGGTGCTGGCAGATTACGGGCCTCCCATAGCTGCTGCCAGGCCCCTAATCTGCCATGGGCCCCTATATACCGCCTCCTCATGCTGCTGCCAAGTCCAGAGTCTGTCATGGGTCCCTGTACGGCCTCCCATTGCTGCTGTCTCCATCGCCACACTCTGCCATGTGCCACTTTCAGGTCTCCTCACACACTGCTGGTGTGTTGAATTTTTTGACATAGGGTGCTGGCAGATTACGGGCCTCCCATAGCTGCTGCCAGGCCCCTAATCTGCCATGGGCCCCTATACCGCCTCCTCATGCTGCTGCCAGGTCCAGGCAAACGTAGTCACACAGGGGAGGAACTTCTCAGTGTAATGAACAGAGAAATCGACAGATGGCTGTCTCCGCGCAAACTGAAAATCGGAACCATGTTGACCGACAACGGAAAGAACATGGTGTCTGCTCTGCGTCAAGTAAGGTTGTGCCATGCGCCATGCATGGCTCACGTGTTCAATCTGGTTGTCAAGCGGTTCCTAAAATCCACCATCCCACTGCAAGACATCCTTAAAATGTCACGTAAACTTTGCATGCATTTCAGCCATTCCTACACCGCAAAGCACACCCTCCTTGAGCTGCAGCGGCAGAACGGAATTGCACAGCATCGCCTGATCTGCGACGTTGCAACAAGGTGGAATTCAACCCTACACATGTTAGACCGCCTTTACGAACAGCGAAAGGCCATCACCGATTTCCTGATGTTACAAGCGGATAAAGGTACTCCCCTGTGTAACTTCGATGTCAGCCATTGGCAGCTCATGCGTGACACCTGCCGCTTGCTCAGGCCCTTTGAGGAGGCCACGCTATTCGTGAGTCGGCAGGACTATGGGATGAACGACGTCATTCCTCTGTTGCACGTCCTGGAACAAATGCTGTTAACAATGGCTGGTCAGGGTGCGGTAGACGTGTGCACAGATCTCAACGCCACATGACCCCTGTGGGGGCAGGACAGGAAGAAGAGGAGGAGTTAGAGGAGGACATTTGTGCTCAGGAATTATTGAGTGAAATGGGTGGTTTTTCCACTCAGCGGACAGGAGTGGAGGAGCAGGAGCATCTGGTAGAGGAGGAGGAGGAGGAGACAGAGAGGACCCAGACGCACCGTGGCAGTATGCTGTGGAGATGGAGGCAGGGAGTCCCTCGCATTCCTTGGCACAAATGGCCCATAGCATGCTCGGTTGCTTGCGTAGCGACAGCCGAATAATAACCATCAGACAGAGGGATGACTTTTGGCTGTCCACCTTGTTGGACCCTCGCTACCGTTCAAAAAATGGTGGCCTTTTTCACACCTGCTGAGAGGGAGGCCAAAATAACGTACTATATAAAAACCACCTATGTAGTCCATCCTCTGCCTTTCTGCGCCAACGTCCATCCTCAGACACTGTGGGCCCTGTCGCGTCGCGTTCCGCTGCCATGGCAGCAGGGGAGGGGTGGGGTGGTAGGAGCAGTGGCAGCTCCACCAGCAGCGGCTGCCTCAGTCTGCAGTCGATGATGAGTAGCTTTCTTCACCAGCGCAGTGAGGAAACTACTAACCAGCCGCAGCAGCAGCAGCAGCATCAGGTGGACCTGGAGCAGGAGCTCAAACAACAGGCTTGGGCCTACTTGGACAGCACCCTGCCAACCGAGGTAGACAATCCCCTTGACTACTGGGCAACGAAACTTGACCTTTGGCCCCAACTAGCTGAATTTGCCCTTGAAAGGCTGTCATGCCCGGCCAGTAGCGTGGCATCGGAGCGCGCGCGTGTTTAGTGCGGCAGGAGGTATTGTAACTCCGCGGAGGACACGACTGTCCACCCAAAGTGTGGAGAGACTCACGTTTGTGAAAATGAATCAGGCGTGGATTAGTCTGGATTTCAAACCACCAGTTCCTGACACAACTGACTAAATCCGCCATGAATCATGCCCCAAACATGTGCCACTTTCAGGTCTCCTCACACTGCTGGTGTGTTGAATTTTTTGACATAGGGTGCTGGCAGATTACGGGCCTCCCATAGCTGCTGCTGCCAGGCCCCTAATCTGCCATGGGCCCCTATATACCGCCTCCTCATGCTGCTGCCAAGTCCAGAGTCTCTCATGGGTCCCTGTACGGCCTCCCATTGCTGCTGTCTCCATCGCCACACTCTGCCATGTGCCACTTTCAGGTCTCCTCACACACTGCTGGTGTGTTGAATTTTTTGACATAGGGTGCTGGCAGATTACGGGCCTCCTATAGCTGCTGCCAGGCCCCTAATCTGCCATGGGCCCCTATATACCGCCTCCTCATGCTGCTGCCAGGTCCAGAGTCTCTCATGGGTCCCTGTACGGCCTCCCATTGCTGCTGTCTCCATCGCCACACTCTGCCATGTGCCACTTTCAGGTCTCCTCACACACTGCTGGTGTGTTGAATTTTTTTGACATAGGGTGCTGGCAGATTACGGGCCTCCCATAGCTGCTGCCAGGCCCCTAATCTGCCATGGGCCCCTATATACCGCCTCCTCATGCTGCTGCCAAGTCCAGAGTCTGTCATGGGTCCCTGTACGGCCTCCCATTGCTGCTGTCTCCATCGCCACACTCTGCCATGTGCCACTTTCAGGTCTCCTCACACACTGCTGGTGTGTTGAATTTTTTGACATAGGGTGCTGGCAGATTACGGGCCTCCCATATAGCTGCTGCCAGGCCCCTAATCTGCCATAGGCCCCTATATACCGCCTCCTCATGCTGCTGCCAGGTCCAGAGTCTCTCATGGGTCCCTGTACGGCCTCCCATTGCTGCTGTCTCCATCGCCACACTCTGCCATGTGCCACTTTCAGGTCTCCTCACACACTGCTGGTGTGTTGAATTTTTTGACATAGGGTGCTGGCAGATTACGGGCCTCCCATAGCTGCTGCCAGGCCCCTAATCTGCCATGGGCCCCTATATACCGCCTCCTCATGCTGCTGCCAAGTCCAGAGTCTGTCATGGGTCCCTGTACGGCCTCCCATTGCTGCTGTCTCCATCGCCACACTCTGCCATGTGCCACTTTCAGGTCTCCTCACACACTGCTGGTGTGTTGAATTTTTTGACATAGGGTGCTGGCAGATTACGGGCCTCCCATAGCTGCTGCCAGGCCCCTAATCTGCCATGGGCCCCTATATACCGCCTCCTCATGCTGCTGCCAAGTCCAGAGTCTGTCATGGGTCCCTGTACGGCCTCCCATTGCTGCTGTCTCCATCGCCACACTCTGCTGCCATGTGCCACTTTCAGGTCTCCTCACACTGCTGGTGTGTTGAATTTTTTGTCATAGGGTGCTGGCAGATTACGGGCCTCCCATTGCTGCTGCCAGGCCCCTAATCTGCCATGGGCCCCTGTACCGCCTCCTTCATGCTGCTGCCAGGTCCAGAGTGTGTCATGGGTCCCTGTACGGCCTCCCATTGCTGCTGCCAGGAGGCTCCAGGGCGCAGCAGTGTCAGTGGAGGCAAACGGCCACGGAGTAGAGCACCAGCTCCACTGCAGCCTACCACCACGGCCAGTAGTGGTGCCGGGTGCTGGCAGATTACGGGAAGTAGCAGTCAGCCAGCGCCCCTAGTCTGCGGGGGCAAAGTTTCCTACTCGGCGGTGTGGCAATTTTTCGTCAAGCCCAGAGGAAGTAAACTCATAGGGTATGTACGACTCCCATGTGGCCAGAAAGTCAAGCGTGGCCAGGGGGCCCATGTTGGGACTACAGCGTTGCGTCAGCATATGCAGCGTCGCCATTCGGTGGCCTTGGAAAACCGTGATAAAGATACGGCGGTTCTGCCTGCCCCAGCCCAGGGTTCCATTTTGTCATAGGGTGCTGGCAGATTACGGGCCATCCCATTGCTGCTGCCAGGCCCTTAATCTGCCATGGGCCCCTGTACCGCCTCCTCATGCTGCTGCCAGGTCCAGAGTCTGTCATGGGTCCCTGTACGGCCTCCCATTGCTGCTGTCTCCATCGCCACACTCTGCCATGTGCCACTTTCAGGTCTCCTCACACACTGCTGGTGTGTTGAATTTTTTGACATAGGGTGCTGGCAGATTACGGGCCTCCCATAGCTGCTGCCAGGCCCCTAATCTGCCATGGGCCCCTATACCGCCTCCTCCTCTGCTGCTGTCCTGAGTCCAGGTCCCTGTACGGCCTCCCATTGCTGTCTCTCATGCCATGTGCCACTTTCAGGTCTCCTCACACTGCTGGTGTGTTGAATTTTTTGACATAGGGTGCTGGCAGATTACGGGCCTCCCATAGCTGCTGCCAGGCCCCTAATCTGCCATAGGCCCCTATATACCGCCTCCTCATGCTGCTGCCAGGTCCAGAGTCTCTCATGGGTCCCTGTACGGCCTCCCATTGCTGCTGTCTCCATCGCCACACTCTGCCATGTGCCACTTTCAGGTCTCCTCACACTGCTGGTGTGTTGAATTTTTTGACATAGGGTGCTGGCAGATTACGGGCCTCCCATAGCTGCTGCCAGGCCCCTAATCTGCCATGGGCCCCTATACCGCCTCCTCATGCTGCTGCCAGGTCCAGAGTCTCTCATGGGTCCCTGTACGGCCTCCCATTGCTGCTGTCTCCATCGCCACACTCTGCCATGTGCCACTTTCAGGTCTCCCACACACACTGCTGGTGTGTTGAATTTTTTGACATAGGGTGCTGGCAGATTACGGGCCTCCCATTGCTGCTGCCAGGCCCGTAATCTGCCATGGGCCCCCGTACCGACTCCTCATGCTGTGACGTTGCAACAAGGTGGAATTCAACCCTACATATGTTTAGACCGCCTTTACGAACAGCAAAAGGCCATCACAGATTTCCTGATGTTAAAAGCGGATAAAGGTACTCCCTGTGTAACTTAGATGTCAACCATTGGCAGCTCATGCGTGACACCTGCGCTTGCTCAGGCCCTTTGAGGAGGCCACGCTATTCGTGAGTCGGCAGGACTATGGGATGAACGACGTCATTCCTCTGTTGCACGTCCTGGAACAAATGCTGTTAATAATGGCTGGTCAGGGTGCGGTAGACGTGGCGCACAGATCTCAACGCCACATGACCCATGTGGGGGCAGGACAGGAAGAAGAGGAGGAGGTAGAGGAGGACATTGGTGCTCAGGAATTATTGAGTGAAATGGGTGGTTTTTCCACTCAGCGGACAGGAGTGGAGGAGCAGGAGCATCTGGTAGAGGAGGAGGAGGAGGAGACAGAGGACCCAGACGCACCGTGGCAGTATGCTGTGGAGATGGAGGCAGGGAGTCCCTCGCATTCCTTGGCACAAATGGCCCATAGCATGCTGCTTGCTTGCGTAGCGACAGCCGAATAATAACCATCAGACAGAGGGATGACTTTTGGCTGTCCACCTTGTTGGACCCTCGCTACCGTTCCAAAATGGTGGCCTTTTTCACACCTGCTGAGAGGGAGGCCAAAATAACGTACTATAAAAACCACCTATGTAGTCAGCTGGTCTCTGCCTGTCTGCGCCAACGTCCATCCTCAGACACTGTGGGCCCTGTGCGCTCGCGTTACGCTGCCATGGCAGCAGGGGAGGGGTGGGGTGGTAGGAGCAGTGGCAGCTCCACCAGCAGCAGCTGCCTCAGTCTGCAGTCGATGATGAGTAGCTTTCTTCACCAGCGCAGTGAGGAAACTAATAACCAGCCGCAGCAGCAGCAGCAGCAGCATCAGGTGGACCTGGAGCAGGACCTCAAACAACAGGCTTAGGCCTACTTGGACAGCACCCTGCCAACCGAGGTAGACAATCCCCTTGACTACTGGGCAACGAAACTTGACCTTTGGCCCCAACTAGATGAATTTGCCCTTGAAAGGCTGTCATGCCCGGCCAGTAGCGTGGCATCGGAGCGCGTGTTTAGTGCGGCAGGAGGTATTGCAACTCCGCGGAGGACACGACTGTCCACCCAAAGTGTGGAGAGACTCACGTTTGTGAAAATGAATCAGGCGTGGATTAGTCTGGATTTCAAACCACCAGTGACACAACTGACTAAATCCGCCATGAATCATGCCCCAAACATGTGCCACTTTCAGGTCTCCTCACACTGCTGGTGTGTTCCATTTTTTGTCATAGGGTGCTGGCAGATTACGGGCCTCCCATAGCTGCTGCCAGGCCCCTAATCTGCCATGGGCCCCTATACCGCCTCCTCATGCTGCTGCCAAGTCCAGAGTCTGTCATGGGTCCCCTGTACGGCCTCCCATTGCTGCTGTCTCCATCGCCACACTCTGCCATGTGCCACTTTCAGGTCTCCTCACACTGCTGTGTGTTGAATTTTTTGACATAGGGTGCTGGCAGATTACGGGCCTCCCATAGCTGCTGCCAGGCCCCTAATCTGCCATAGGCCCCTATATACCGCCTCCTCATGCTGCTGCCAGGTCCAGAGTCTCTCATGGGTCCCTGTACGGCCTCCCATTGCTGCTGTCTCCATCGCCACACTAACCTCTGCCATGTGCCACTTTCAGGTCTCCTCACACACTGCTGGTGTGTTGAATTTTTTGACATAGGGTGCTGGCAGATTACGGGCCTCCCATAGCTGCTGCCAGGCCCCTAATCTGCCATGGGCCCCTATACCGCCTCCTCATGCTGCTGCCAGGTCCAGAGTCTCTCATGGGTCCCTGTACGGCCTCCCATTGCTGCTGTCTCCATCGCCACACTCTGCCATGTGCCACTTTCAGGTCTCCTCACACTGCTGGTGGGTTCCATTTTGTCATAGGGTGCTGACAGATTACGGGCCTCCCATTGCTGCTGCCAGGCCTGTAATCTGCCCACTGGTTTTGGCCCCGTGACTGGCCAAATGAGTGAAGTGTGCGGTGATTCTAAGATCGACGGCACTCATCTGCATGTCATACTGACTGACAGTATTATTTCTCTTCCCCAGCAGACTCCAAGGGCATTTAAATTAAAGGTACAGTGTTCTGCACTAATATTAAGTCTCTCTGAAGCCTAGAAACACCCTTTTTTTAAGTTAAATTCACAGCGAATATATTCGACTCGAATCGAATATTGTCCACGAATTCGCCGAATCAGTCGAATCGAATTTTTGAATACTTCGCTCATCTCTAATTATGAAGTTTATTTATGAAATCATTATTACTTCTTGATTTATTTAATATTTTTACAATAAATACATTTTTGATTTTGCACTTCACTTATGTCATCATAGTTATGAAATTACATGTATGACCATTGCATGTATGACTATTACAGAATATTAGTTTTAGACCCAGATCTGATTCTAAGATGACTTGTAGATTAGCAAATGTGTGCACTGTGACAAAACAAAAAGGGTGACATCAATATACATTTTGTCCACAGTATCATAATATTGACTCTGCTATTACCGTATTGTCTCTGATACTATTGTACCCACAATTACATCATCAGTGTAACATTATGTTAATAACTGACATTATGCTGCACTTGATAATGGTGACCGTGACATCACAATAGTTTCTGTGTCATCACATTACCTATGGGCACTATCATCATAATAATACTGTAAATGTGACCTTACTAATCTGTTTTTGACATCACATTACCTTCAATTGCAAATTATTGGCAGTGACATCAAAATAATGATTGCTATCACAATGCCCAATATAACATCACAATATCTATTATGAGATTGATTGTAACATCACAATATTAAATGACACCTCGTTACACCTCCTAAAGATGAATGTGACATCACCACACTATGGGATCACGTGCACTTTCACCATAATACCGATTATGACAACGCAAAACTATTATGTGCTGTGATTTTTCTGGGTTTCACCCAAGGGTAGTGCCATTGGCATTAAGTCTAGTCCACGCGGGAAATAGATTTCAGGGCTTGTTGGCCCACTTTTATTTATAGGGAA